TCATGGTTATATGAAAATACGCATATTGTTAATGCAAAGTTCCAAAAATTTGTATGCATTTTGCAATAAAATGATATTATTCGTAAATGGTACGAGTCCAAAACTATTGACTGGTCTTACGCCGCTAAAGTAATACGCGGAAGTGGCGATTTCGACAACGAGTCTCTCGTCAACTGTGAGCTATTGGCGTGCGCCTGGAAAGACCTTGTACATTATGTTCTGAATAATTTATAATAAACTATTTTAGATCCTCAAAGATTGTTTTAACTTAATATCCTCCCCCTTACCTTTCCCCCTTTAGATGTAAGTGAACGCGATATAGGAGCGAGTGCGCTGGAGGAGGTGGGTGAACTTGGGTTATCGCGAACGGGCCGCTAGAGGGGGTACAGATCGGACTGCTGCGGGGGAGGGAGGGTGGGTGTGTGCGGACCTTCTCGGGCGACTACCGCGGGTCGTCGCGATCAGGGGGAGGGAAGGTGGATGGAGGAGTGCGGACCTTCGCAAGGATATACCGACTGTCGGAGGAGGGGGTACCGACCGCTGAAGGGCCCTATTCGGTCGGTAAAAAAAACAGCGCCAACCGACCGCTTTTATTCGATCGGTAAAAAAAACAGCGCCAACTGCGCCAACTGGCCTTCCTACTCGGCCGGTAAAACAGATCCAACTGCGCCAACTGGCCTTTCTACTCGGTCGGTAAAACATATCCAACAGAGCCAGAATTGGCCTTACCCCTCTACTGACACTATAATAAAAATAAAGCCCGCTGTTAAGGATCGAGCGAAGCTCGTTCACCGGGTTGCAATGCGCCAGGCGAGATGGTCTCGCGCGCGCTGGACTTTTGCTGCCGCTTGTTACGAGGCGCCGCGCCGCCCGGGTGATACGCCCGCGAGCGAGTTTGCCGGCGAATACATGAGAATGCTCCGTAGAAATTCTCGGAGAGATCGCTTTCGTCTACCATCACACTTGGATTGATAGAACGGTGAGAATACGTTTTGGACGCCTTCTCGATTGTGTGTGTCGGGTATTGTAGTTTTCTTGGTGGTGGTCAATTCTTCTATACCTTCCTAGAGCCGGAACCTCGTTCCATGCTCGTGGCCGTGAGCGCTAGTTCTTCCGGGCGAAGGACCGGAAGATTTTTCTGCGGAGCACTTCCGACGGACCATTAATCGTATCTACAGACGATTAAGTTCAGGGTCAAGCGTAGCTCGACAAGTGCGATCCTCCACGTGGACATCGTCTTACGGAACGGCAGAGGCCGTCTCCCTGCTCAGAAGAACGAGCTCGCGTCCTGACCAAGGACCGATTCTTCAACAGCGCTCGGTGCAAATCACTGTTCGATGCAACTCGGTGTTATCGCGGAGCTTGGCAACTCGTTTCTAGGTGTAATCCGGAGTCTACAATATCTACCTATGAGTTTAATAGATTCCTGGAGCGCCCGGTCGCCGATGGCGAGGAAGTCTTCTTCGCGAGGCACCGGAGTAAAATCTCGAAGAATTTCGGTTAGTCCGAGTTCCATCGTCTGTATCGTGGGTCATTGCTCACCCGAGTCAGTCGCATCGGCGACAACCGACTTCCATCGTCGGCATAGTGGGTCACTGAGGACCCATGTCAGTCGCTTCGGCGACAGCCGACTACCGTCTGCACAGTGGATTACGGAGGACCCAGGGTCTGTCGCACGGGCGACAGCCAATAACCGTCAGCAATGTAGGTCGCTGACGGCCGGCTCGCGCGTTCCCACTTTACGGCGACGGCAAGGTTAAGGTCGTGCGAGAACCCTTACGCCCTTGCCTCAGGCACCGCACCTCGCCGGCTAGGTGGGTCGCTAGTGGCACCTGAAGCGCCCTAGAGATAGAACATCCAATCACTATGATTAACCATAGCTATCCACGAATTGCTCCAATCATAGCGGTTAACCATATTTGCAGTTCCATAACAGCTATCACTGTTGTGTCCCCTCTCTCCTTCTCGTCCTCCTCTACTTTTCTACCGACTTCGCTTTTTTATTTTATATACTCCATCAGTCGGAAATCAACATGCGTAATTTCAAGGCGTTAGACAACCTCGCAATGATTATACGAGGGTGGTCCCTGAAGTACCCGACCCAACAAAGAAAATACAAAAATTTTGGAAAAAATGTATTTATTTTTCAACCTAATTTCCTTTCAGCTCTATACACTTTTCCCAGCGATGTTCAATAAATTCGATACCATTTTTATAATAAGAACTGTCTTGCTCCTCAAAATAGCCATTAACTGCCGATATCACTTCTTCATCGTTGGAAAATTTTTGACCACTGAGCCATTTTTTCAAGTTTGGGAACAGAAAATAATCCGAGGGGGCGTTTGTTGCTGTGAAACCTCGCTAAACACTCAATTGAAACATCTTCACGACACTGTTTTTGCTCGAGTGTGAGCAAACGCGGCACCCATCTTGCACACAGCTTTCTCATGTCCAAATTTCCAGATAATATGCGATGTACCGCACTTTTTGAAATGCCTACTATGTCTGCTAGCTCGTGCACTTTTAGTCGCCGATCATCCAGTACCGCTTTATGGATTTTCTTCACCATTTCTGGAGTCGTCACCTCATTTGGTCGACCACTGCGATGCTTGTCTTGGCAGTTCGTACGGCCTCATTTAAACTCTGTTACCAAATATTTTACTGTTGTAAACGAAGGAGCAGACTCACCCAGAGTAGAATCCAGTTCAGCTTTTATATTGGTTGGGCTGAGGCCTTTCAAATAAAAGTATTGTATCACATAACGATGACCAATTTTCTCCATTTTCACAAATTCACTGAAAACGTTCACTACTGATGGCTGCCAAATAAATACTAAACAACGTGGCGTCTTCAAACTTGAAACATATGCTTTGTACTTTAGTACTAATCATATGTACTAAAGTACATATGATTGTGTACTTTATAATACAGTGATATTTTTCAAACAACTACCGCCATCTCTAGGTGAGGTCGGGTACTTCAGGGACCACCCTCGTACTCTCGAAAAATAATATAATATAAAAAGAAATTTAACGAATTAAATAAAAATCTACCTCCTCCTTTAAGGATGCGACGCCATAGTTCGTTTCCTTTTGCATCCTATATTATCCTCAACTTTTCCAGAAATTTCCTTTATATCCTTTCCATGCTACCACAGAATGCTTCAGACCCAAAATCTCCACACTTTCTCCTAGACACTTCCTTCACCCTAGAACCATAGGTGCCAGACTTTACCTCCACCACCACCTAAATAGGTCACGCCTATTATGTTTTACCATGGCTGTACCCATACTACTACTATTCTACTGGAAATAAGAGTTTGTAAATATACGCCTAATATTCGTTATTTTAAACGTGGAAACGCGTGTATGTTGCGGCATTACGATTATTCGCGTGCGCGGTAAATGATTTTATGGCTTTTTTTTCCGCAACCGCTAAAACTATTG